ATAGATCTGTATGTTGTGTAGGAGATCTAAGCAGCTTAAATCGAGGCGAGCAGGCGACCCGGTGGGCTTTCAGAGGTTTATACATCTGATTATTTATATAAAATCCACACCAGGCTCGTAAAGGAGACCTGCTTTTATTTAAAGTTTTACAGTAAAACAACCGATAATCAGTATAAAGAAGAGATCATAATATGTAACTGGATATATAAATATAAATAATACGTTTACTATCCAACAAAATATGTAAATTAATCTGCTTTTAGATTTTTTACCACATTAAAAACATTTTTCAGCTCGTATTGTCAGGAGAAGTATCTAAAGTAAAGGTGTCACGTTATTATTAGAGACAATATATTGATCTGCGACACGTTTGTTAATAGATTAATCGCTTATTTATTGATTTTTAAGGAAATGTAACTGATTCCAGCTCCTGAAATGTGAATATTTGCTGCTTTTCTTGGACTTTTAAACTGAATTTGTTTGTTTTGTTTGCTATTTTCTTTCATTCAGTCATTTTTTTTAACTCGCAACCATAAAACCCTTCAGCAATAACTCCCAGACAGAAGCCAAAACGGCTGAATATGTCGACAAATTGAGCTCTTTTTAACCACTTTATGTCCTGTTGTACGACTCTTGTGCTTTATATGTTGAATCTTTATCTGTAAAGTAATTTCAGCTGTGAGATAAAAGTATGAAAACGCTCTCTGCTGCTGAAGGTCAGACAGTTTGTGGACCTAAATATGAATATTATTGAATATTATTGAACTTCTGTACTCAAATACTCTTTTCTACTTTTTATTTCACTACAATTATCTGACAGTTTTACAAATTAAGACTTTTTGCACACAAAACCTGCCAATGTACAAAAGTAGAGCTGAAATAATTCAGTTTATCTTCTTATTTTAATAATCAATCATAAAGCTTTTCCTTTTTTAATAATTTGGATGTATTTGTAATAATTTGGAGGTTTGGACTGTTGGTTGGATAAAAACAAACATCATGAAGTTTCTTACAAACCAATCAATCAATGAATTCATGCAGAAATCAAACTGAGCTCCACCTCAACCAACTGCAACAGTAAAATCCTGCTTTTACATGAATACAGAGTCAGAATAATCTAATTACATCATATTTAATAGTCCAACAGTCACAGTTTAATACTTTAACTACATTTTATTGATTATACTTAATACTTACTTAATGATATTATACGTTTAAGTAAGTTAGGAGGAGTGGATTCCTTTTTAAGGATTTTAATGTAGAAATACCTTTTATATAAGTCTTAATACAAGAGAGAGGATTTTAAATGTATAAAAGCAGCTGCACACTGACATTTAGACAGGACAGGAAGAAGATCTGAACTAAATGTTAAAGAAAAACTGCCAAAAATATTCAGCTTCCATCTCAAATGTGAAGATTTGCTGCTTTTACGTCTCTTCTGTTGTGTTGAATTGAATATTATTGAGTTTTAGACTGTTAGTTGGACATAAAAAGTACATTGAGGACATTTATCGTTGCTTATCTTTCAGTTTTTATTGATTTGTTTGTTTGTTGTGCAGAGCTCAGCTGCAGACTGACATTTAGACAGGACAGGAAGAAGATTTGAACTAAATTATTGGGTTTATAGGTTGTTAGGTAGACATAAAAAGTAAATTGAGGCCATTCTTTGGTTATCTGTTATTATCGGTGTGTTTGTTTGTTGGAGTTCATTCAGAGTTCGGATAATTAGACATTTAGACAGCACTTTTCTTTCTCTGACATGCTGTTAAATGGAATATTATTGGGTTTTAAACAGTTAATTAGACATAAAAACTATATTTCTTTGCTCTTGTTTGATGTGTTGTGTCCAATAAGTGATGGTTTCCACGATCCTTCTGCCCCGAACTGATTTAATTCCCTCGTTGTGCAGCAGCGGTTCTTCCACCTGCAGACGTTATCTCCTACAGCGCTTTAATAAAACACTTTATTATCATTAACCTCTATTAAATCTCCGCACTCGCTGCAGCTGAGCACCATCGCGTTCAGCACTGAACTCTGGGAGAACAGAACCGGGTGGGTATTCTGCTGCGTTACACTACAAATAATTAACTAAATTCCTGTTTTAGATGTTATTAGATTATCTTAAAGCTTTTATTCCGTCTGCAGGCTCTCCGTTATATAACTGCTCTTTTATGTGTGTGTTTGTGAGGTTTTTACACACTTGTACTTCCTGTTAATTAAAGTATAATAATTAAAAATGGATCATGTCTGTGTCCCAGTAACCCGCAGTGGATATTAAATATACAAGGAAAACCACATTTCAGCTGCTGGCTGCTTTTGTAAACTCAATTTTGTGAGTTAAAAAACGTTCTTGATCATGTAGTCATTTTATTTTAAGTGATTTAATTTAGCATTTATTTATTTATTCTGTTAAAACAAACTAGTAAAAAGAACTTAATCGGGAATGTTTCTGTAACTTAAGAAGTTTAAAGTTGGTGTCACTTAAAAGCTGCTTCATCAAGAATCTTTTTTAACTTATGTAATCCATTTCAACAATTTATTTTTCAACATTTTCAAACAGTTTGTGATTTAATTTTAATTTCACTACTTTCACTATAATTGCTTTTTTCTGTACATAACGCAACTCGTTCCAACTAGTTTTCCCAAGTTATTTACGTCAACACAGCTCATCAGAATAATGTTTGCACCTTAAAAGTTCTATCTAAATCAGTAAATTAGAAGTTTTATGTTGCAGCTGCACATTTATTTAAGTGGTGTTGCTGCTGTACTTACACACACACACAGGAAACTAAAATAATGACTTTTACTTTTAAGTCCAGTACTTTTACAGTTTGGTATTAGTAACTGAATACTTCCTCCACTGCTGATGTGATGAGACCTTTAAACGGTTGCAGCTGAATTATATGAGCAAAGATTATTTAAATATTATATAACATACCACAGTGTGTAGTGTATAGTATTGTGTGTGTGTGTGTGTGTGTGTGTGTGTGTGTGTGTGTGTGCATTTGTGTGGTGTGTG